GCACACACACACACACACACACGCACGCACACGCACGCACACACACACACACACACACACACACACACACACACACAAAGCCTTCAGAATTTGCCAGATATTCAATAAAAGGGGTCGTAAATCCTGTTTTCCACGCCGTAGGGAAACCGCGGGATTTGTCGGCAAAATGGCAGACAGTGGGTCCAGCAGTTCCGTGCCCAGTTCCCATTGGGAAAGCTCCGAAGAATTGCTCTAGGAAATCCCATTGTGATTGAGTACTTTTATCTGACGAGAGTTCTGATATTGGAGGGAACATTTCAATATGCACGCTATTATTATCGTCTTGGGAAAAAGGACAGGCCAGAAGGCAAGTGGATTTGGTTCATAAATAATAACAAACTTTGGGGATGTCGTTTCGGGTTGAGGTTTTTTTTTCTTTACGTCCTAATTTGCCAAAACGCCAGACAGCGGCGATGGCGAACACTGACGCTGCGGGAGACACACTTTGACGAGGACTACTAATTTGTGCATCTTTCTTAAAAGCGGGCTAAGATTAACAAAACTAATTTCATGTGAAAGAATGAGAAAAATTCCGACTTTACTCAAACATGATTCCCGAAACCCTTGGAGTTGGTAAAATTCAACGTTGGCTAAGATCATAAATCAGTTGTCCTAAAACGTCCGTGTTATGGATTAGACGGCTTTTGCAGGGTTTACCGCCATGGGTGCTTCTCCTCATCTCCTTCAAACTTTTTGCGTACCATTCCCCTTAATCTTTATTCCTAATATTTTCGCTTGTTGTTTTCACTCTTTCTGTACCAAAACACCGATGCATTGACGCCTTTCTGCACTCTATTTGGTCATGCACTGAGAGCTCATGTCACATAAAGAGTTAAACTATTAATTTCCCACACTACCATTGCTGTAGTCTGACATTAAAATTTGGGAAGGATATTTACCTGCCAGTAGACACGCACTATGATGAAGGATATAAAGTCAACAGACACCTCGTGTCCAGGTCCCCCCCAACATGAATTACAAAAGCTTAAAATGCTTTGAGGATGAAACACATTTTAATAAACTAAGTAAAAACAAAAACAAAACACAAACAAAAATACCCCCAAGCAAACAAATAGATAAAATAAAAACTCAACAGATATTTATTTACTTCAAAGGGTTTCAATTCTTGGGTGATATATCGATCAGGATGAGAGAGCTCACTCACGGTGTGTTCAAACTCATTTCCCTTCACACTTTTCTTATTTTTTTCCTTTTTAAAAATCGTTTTTTGGGTAAATGTTTTACGGCGTTCACACCTCCACACGTTCATATGAGCGCGCGGAACACATGAAACATTTTCAGTTGGTAGGAAATAATTTTGAATTTTGTCCCGGTGGCAGCTCAAGCCTACTCTTATCGATTTTGGACCACCAAGGGATCTTTTACGTGCGCAACTTGCACACGGGACCTCCGAGATTTTTCGCCATTGTCCGAGAAGGCTAGGTGTAGATCTTTCCTACATGAAGATCAGGGGTGTGGCTGAAAGACAGCAGAAAGAAGAAGCCAATGAGTAGCAGAAAGAAAGGCTGCAGAAAGAGTCAGGAGCCAGAGGAGGGGGCAAAGGAGGTGGGGGAATCGGGGCAGAAAGTGGAGACGAAAGCAGACGAAAGAACATTGCTAGAGAGCAGGAAACGAGGGGAAAGGAGAAAATTTTAGAGGAAAACATTTTCCGACGCTATCCACATTCGAACCCGTGACATATTGAACGAGAGGCGAACACATTAACCCCTAGGCCACGAGAGCCCCCCCCCCCCCACACACTTTTCTTAACCATTTAACCCTACCCGTACGCCTGGGGTAATTTCGTACCCCAGGGGCTGTATTCTTCACATTTTTAGAATACTTCTAGGGCGAAGATCTCTTTGAAACTTTCAGTTTTTCTCAAAAAATCATTTTTTTACAGACAGCTATGCAAAGCGCACGGATTGAATTAACGAGTAAATTTCCTCTTTGGAAAGTGGTGGTACAGAGTTTCCCAGATTTCCCCCGCGTTCGTATAGATACGATAGTAAACCACGACGTACGGATAGGGTTAAGGAAGAAGCGGACACATGTATGATTAGCAGCTGCCAGAAGATTCAAGGTAATGATGCAGCCCATTCCAAAACACTGTACACAATTCAGAAACACAAATTTTCATATGTCATAGAAGACATATTATTATTGTCTTCTGCCATTTCAAGTTTTAGATGAAAAAAAAAAACTGATAGGGGAAAAATAAATGTATGAATAACGAAAGAAATTTTTTTTTTTAAAAGAACAGCATGTCTTCAATAAGTGAACTCTCGGGCCTAAAACCATGAGTCCATCATAACTGCTCTTTTGACCTCTGGTGGATGACTCACCTTGCTCGGGTTTCCTCCCGCCGCAGTTCACGCCGGCACATCCCCAGTTTCATGGTTTTCTGAGGGCAAGAAAAGTGATCTGATTTGAGCGTCTCATTTTTAGTAAGAGTCTTGCGGCACTTGCAACAAAGTAAGATCATGTAAGTGTCGAAGATTAGAGGTGTTTCATGAGAGTATTAGTTTTGTAAGGTTTTACGGCACTTGCAATATAATGAGGTCATTAATATAAGTGCCGAAAATTAGAAGTATAACAAGAGAGTAACAAACACAAAAAATGAGTAGAAATAAGGACGATAGATGTTTGATAGGAAACAAGGAGCAAATCACACCAGAGCACCATCCAACCACCCACCAATGTATTTCTAAAATAACAGACATCAATTCGTCTTCACAGCTAATAGTTGTTGTCTTGTTTTGGTTAGCATTCTAAGTATAATATTGACAGTGACCACATGCCCACTTAAATCATCAGTACTAGAAAATACCGATAGCTGAGAATAGTTTTATCAGCACATTTCTGTATTTTAAATATAAGATTAGCTCTAAAATTAAAAGGGTTCTACGCTCTTGGTGGGTAGCGCTAGTCTTGTCACGAGAGTTGAATTTGGTTGCAAAGTACCGCAACACTCAAGACCAATGATGTCCACCTGAATTCAAATCTATTCCTAACTGCAAGCTTCTCGAAGAGAGAGATTTTATGGGTTTTGAAATTTGATTACAGTCTGAAGATCCCCTCTTCTTCACAATTTAACTTTCGTGAACATTTTGTTTATATATAAACGTGTTATACACACCATCTGAAAACTTACATTAGAGGATACAAACTCGCGCTCGTCCACCTCCTCTCCGTTGGGAGTACTATTGACGCTAGAACTTGACCAGTTGGAGGCAGTGGGACCCGGGGCACACGACCTTGGCCTTTGTTCATACTCCTCCAAAAACACCGGCCTGAAGCAATCACGGGAAACAGAGAGTACCATACCTGGCCTGTATCCAGTCTGGGCACAAAAAGAGATAAATAAAAAACAATGAATCGGTATACAGTCAGCACATACATACTCATTTTGTTTGTTTGTTTGTTTGTTTGTCTTTTAAATAGAAGCATATTATCGACAAAGTAACTATTATAAAGTAAAAACGTTACATTTCTTATTCATACATTATAGACATACATGTGAGTTATCCCAAAATTACAAGCGCTGTATTGTCTGTTGGTAGACAGTGGACCAATTTGTTTCCACCCCATTCACAATCATTTTTTGCGTTACGATAAAACTAAAGCCGTGCAATAAACAAAACACACCTCTTCCAATAATTCATTCTCTTGTAAACTTGTGTCTTCAGCCGGCCAGAGACGATGGACAGTGGAGGACAGCACAGACCTTAGCGACCGGATACGCCTGCAGGTATTATTCCATCTGGACTTGAATATAGATGACCTTCTTGTGTCCGTTTTGATAGACACGTTGCCAGACATAGATGTGTGACTTTGATACTGGCCTTGACTGGGTCCACAATACATTCCACCATCGTCCTTCAAGGAGTAGGCGACCTGGTTATCGCGAGTGAATCCTTGCTCGTTCTCAGGAGCATCTACAATCACAAAAGCATCAGGGTCCATGTTGCTCGTCGACATGTTACCGTGAGCTCCTCTGTTGGCTTTATTTTCGTCCAGGCAATGAGAAGGAACAATGTAAGAAGAAGAGGAAGAGTGAGGGCATTGATCTGTCGCAGCCATAAGTGGCTCGGTATGTGAGAACTGAACGGAGAAAGAAGTAGAGGTAGGCATGAGGTTTTGGTTTTGCTGACCTTGTGAATGAGGCATCCTTCTTGTTTGATGAAAGGACGTTGTGCTTTGCTGTGGGTTATGACTTTGCGGACATGAGATACTTTCTTCCATCGTATGATGCGACGGATGGCACTGACAAGTTGTTTTGGACTTGTGTGCATTGCAGTTATTTGAATACAGTTCTTCTGCAGCAGATACAGAACGCAAACGATCTTTGGAAGAAGTATTGTTATCAAAAGGCAAGTATCGTCCTGCTTCGGAAACACATGCCGGTGGGTTGTGACCGACTGTTCTACTTGCGTTCATCCTGTTCATATCTAGAACAGTGGGGTTTTTATTGTAGCATGGCACAATCACCTGAAGGGGAGGCGACTCGTGAGAAGATCTGAGGGCAGGATTTCCCCCTGGCTTGGATGCAATTAGCGCTCTACCTGACCCACGAGTAGGCTTCGTTAGGGATAGAGGAGAGCCGTAGCCGAGAACGGATTCCAGATCATGGTAGAAATTAGGTTTTTGATTGTCGTTTGTAGAGTGATTTGGCGCCAAAGTCTGGTCAGGAAGGCCAGCTGTCAGATTGACTGGAAGTGAATGATGTGCGAGTTGAGGCTGACGTAGCGGCACTTGAGAGGTAAGTTGGCACGAAGAGGTAAAGGGAACATTGCTCTGGTCAAAGGGGTTTTGACAGGTCAGTTGATTTTCGTTGGAAATTTTGTTTTGAATATCCCTGGTTGCACGATGCTGTCCAAACTTTGGCTGCCAGTTCATACCCACATCTTCGGGATTGCCTTGAATTTGCTGCAAATTGTTATCGTGTTCATTCAGATAGCCAGACTGTGTGCGAGGCTCGGAGTCTAGTCTGGTTTCCTGGTCGAATTCAATGAACGTGCTTTCTGTGGGGTGCGGTTTTATTTCACCAGCTTCCGAAGGCTTCATACCGTTACTAGCCATTGTATCACCGGGTTGAGAAGTATACCGTTGTGATACCTGAGTTTCTTGTTTTCTATTGCTGCCACTAGGGTAATGGGCTGAAGGTTGTAGGTCAAAATGTGTTGCATTTTCTATTGTGCTTCTGTTATGATTATGATTTGAATGGTCATCAGTCCTTGCTGCCTTTGGTGTGGAATAATCTTTCATGGGCATGTCGTGATTTTTTTCTTCCTTTTCTTGACTGAGGCATCTCAGAGCAACAGTTCCCATAGAAGATGAGCGTCTCAGGGGTCTCCAGTGCTCATGTCTAGCGGCGTCCGCCATTAGAGTACCCGCCTCGGCACACACACCTGACTTGTCACTGTTCTGGGCTAACAAAGGAATTCGTTCATTGGGAGACATCTTACAACCGCCGACTAAATCTTCAATACCTCGACCCGACGACATTTCTGAACGATCTAGACCATCACCTGGAAGACATGTGTGATCTAAGTACATATCTGTGAAACGTCTGCGGTCAAACTCTTGCTGGAAGACGAAGGGATCATTTGTCCTAGTAAATAAGGGTTGTAGGCTTTGCTGCTGCTCTTGGTCAACATCAAAATCGTCCTCCATCCAAGGCTCCTTTGCGCAAATTCCGTCATCGCTAGAGGTGGCACAATTGTCATTCACAAGGCCACTAACTGGTACCGAATTTTCAGAGGTATTGTAGTAAAAATCGACAGAACCGAGGCATGCGTCTTCAGAAGAGCCCCCACTCGAACTTCCGGTCAGAGTACCACGTCGACCTTTGTGAAAAGACTGGGAGGTTATCTCAGAGATATTCGTGACGTCACCACACGAGATGAGGTTCTGATACGACCTGGGGATACTTGCAGCACGTGACCTACTTCCAGCGCTACTGCTCTCAGAGCCGCAGGAGCTGCTGCCGTCCAGCCGTGAGCTGTTCCCGGAATCCACACCCGCGCTCCGCTGACTGGACGCCTCGCTGGTCAGACTGGAGGTGCGGAGACGGCTTGGGAAAGCCCCCAGGCCTGCAGACAACGCCAGTTCACAAGGCGCTACAAAGTCGTGATCCACGCGTAAATCCTGTGAAGAAATGCGGTCTAAGTCGACTTCGATATCTTGATCTAGAGCGTCCTCCGTGAGTGCTGTTTCTGTCTCGGGATGGATTTCTTGTTCTTTGTGTCTTTGTGAGATTGTTGGAAAGACGGACAACTGAATAGGATATGTCGGCCGAGTTCTGATCGGAAACGGCAAGGACGCAGAGTTAACGAGAGCCTCGGTGTTCGAAGAGGGGGATATGGGCCGAGAAGAAGATGAATCTTGTGAATTACATGTCAGAAGTGGTTCTCTGACGTTTGTGAGCTCCTGGTCTTTCGCTGGCCTTCTGGGGGAGTCCAGGGTCTTCTGCAAGCCACCAGTCATTGGGAAATGAGGCATCTACACTGCAGGATGAAACTTTGCCTGTGGGGAATGACCAAAAGTAATGCTTTTGAGTTTGAATAAAGAGACGCTCATCAGCATAATCAGTGCTTGGAAAAAGGGACACAGACAGACAGAAACAAAATAGGGACAGTAAAAATGTTTTAAAAAATATACCCGTGGCAACCATCAACCATCCACGCGAATGGTTCGGAGAGAGAGAGAGAGAGAGAGAGACAGACAGACAGACAGACAGACAGACAGACAGACAGATAGACAGACAGACAGACAGACAGACAGAGACAGAATAAAAGACAGAAAGAACAAATGCAAGATAGATTGACAGACTAACACTTTGGTGACACAAAAAAAGACCAATCCTAGCAACCCTTCGTCCCCCCTCCCCCTGAAAAAAGCAAAAACAAAAACTACAACAACAACAAAAACTACAACAACAACAAAAACAACAACAACAACAACAACAAAACGACCAAATACAGACAAAACAAATAAAAGGTAAAACATGAAAAAATAACCCACATAAGACAAACCATTTAAAAACAATTTAAGAACGTATCACCAACAAAAAACAAAACAAAACAATAATAGTAATAGACAACTTTTCCTCTCCTGCAAAGATGGCAACGGCAATAAAATGACAACACCAATGCTCCTAGAGGTAAGAGCTTGGTTGTCAGAAGGATAGGCCGGGTAAGGCTTGATTTTACATTTTGACGAACTCACTCACTCAGACTTAGTGTTGTTCAGCTTACAGGCAACAAAGAATTTTTACTCCAAGTTTCTTTGGTCTCAGTTAATTTCGATTCTCCCTCTCCCACCCTCAACCCCAGCCCCAAACCAAGTCCCCCACCCCTACCTAAACGTTCTTATTCGTTTTGAGCGTCAAGCCCCCAACGATTCTTAGAATAAGTTATAAAATGTCTTTCGCGCATGACGTCATGGTGGCCCACATGCAACCCACGAAGCGTGGAGACCCTGGATGTGCTTAATGTTTACTAGGTCATGTGAGTTCCCAATAGATGGATGAAGTTTACTTTGATAGTTTCTTTTAAAGGCAGTTAGTGGTAGTAGCCTACTCAAATCTTTGGGATAATCGTGTTTTGACCCTATCAATAATTGTTATAGAGTGTGGGTTTTGGCTCCACCGACGATTACTTTTTGTTCTAAACGATTATTTTTCGACGATCGTGCCGATATGATTTTGATAGATATCAAACCTAATTGAAAAAATCGAATCATGGTTAAATCGGAGGTGACTAATCTCCGGTTAAATTCAGGAACATTTTAAAATTATTATTGAATCAGTATTGACATCTAGTACTGTTGGCACCAAAACCGAAGAATGCCAAAGCTTTCACAAAGTAGAAACTCATGGGCAACTAGACTAGGCCTACGCACGGCCTCAAATTCTCTCACTTAAGACAATTTTATACAGGGCTTGGCTACCAAAATAATAATCAGCCAACAGGGTGTCCATTGGGGGATCGGGGCTAGGGGCGGTTTGCTCGCCAGATTGAGGGCGAAAAGCGGCTATCGTGGCACAAACGCGTTTTTTTTCCTTCAGGCGATCACCCCCCCGACCCGACTCGACCAGACCCGACCAGACCCGATCCCATCCGTAGTGGGCACCCCGTATTAGGATGTTAAAAAACCAGCATAGCAAGGTAGGATCCTCCACTGTCAAGCGATTCACGTATGTATATGTACGATTTAAATACAAGAAAAAAGCACTTTAAAAAAAGCGGGGTCTAAGCAACATAATTTATGGTTTTTCGACCAAAATTGCAGAAAGCACAACTTGTCAATTGAATGATGTATTGTTGCTTGTTGTATTAATTTTATTCTACTTTGTCTCACTTGCGTGTTCCCTGAGCATTGTAATCACACGCATTAAAAAAAGGGTTGTTGTTTTAGTAGAGGTTTTACGGCGCTCGCAACTGCAGTCATATGAGCACCAAGAGACTGTGTTGTAAGAGTATAAGTGTAAAACAACAAACAAAAACAAAACACGCACAACGCAAGCGACAGACTTCTGTTTGATAAACATCAAATTTTGAAAGAAATTTGAAAAGATTACAGTGGTGAAGGAACAATGTTTGCATATCTTGAGTAATGGGCAGAACTGTATTAAAAACTAAAGAACACGTGAGAATTCGTTTTTGCAGATGTTCACACGACTTCAGATTCGCGATAGATCTTTATGGACTGTGTGAGTGAATGAGTGAGTATGTGCGTGTCTGTGTGTGTGTTTGTCTGTCTGTCTGCCTGTCTGTCTGTCTGTCTGTCTGTCTGTCTGTCTGTCTGTCTGTCTGTCTGTCTCTCGGTATGCGCGTATGTGTGTGTGTGTGTGTGTGTGTGTGTGTGTGTGTGTGTGTGTGTGTGTGTGTATGTGTGTGTGTGTGTGTGTCTGTTTGGGAGAGCAGTGCAGTTGATACTCAACACCATAGTTCACCTGGATTCATCGTCAAAATTGACACTTATATAGCCAGGATATTCTTCGCTTTTTCTTCCCCGTAATGACTCCAAGTCGTCCTAATCTGTGGTGGACATTTTTCATCTTGGGATTCAATATTAATTAAATCTGACATTTGAGAATGATGGTAAACGACAAGACAAGGGGGGAGGGGGGGGAGGGCGAAATCAGCGATTCGATAATAGATACGAGTAGGCCTATTCCTTTTTATTTGCAAAAGGGGTTTGAGGGGAGGGGGCGGGTGCGATTTTTAAAAGGCTTTGTGGGGAGGAGGGGAAGTCGAAGAAGGATTTTGATTACAATCGATCAGCCAGGACGGATATGAACATCCATTAAGTTTCATTTTATCACAGCCATGTTTTTTTAAATCTTGTCTTTTCTTTCCAAACTCAAAAGGAAAAAGAAATCTTTAAAAATAAAAGCATTTTAAGAATTAAGAAGCTACTCTCCGCCACAAGAACCCCCTTCTACCCCTAGATCTAGATTCTAAATTAAATCAGGTCACATAAGAAGATTTCCTCCGCCCTCCCCCTTTCCCTATTTCGACGTTTTGCCCCCCCCCCCCCAAACAAAAAAGATGAGAGGCCTACATCACAAATGAAATAAACTACGAAAACAACAACAACAACAAGAGAAAGAAAGAAAGGAAAGTAACCAAAATAACAGTCTACCCTCCCTCCCCCCCTAAAAAACCCAAATTAAACAATTAGAAAAATTAAATTTAAATTTAAAAGATACTATTTTCATCATGATGAAGCGAAGAAGAAGAAGCAAAAGGTTTTCACCCACCACACTTCTTCCTACACAAAACCGAATAAGCAATCCATCACTCCATAACAATGGGACTGAATAAAACGACTCAGAATCTGCGGGAGACACTTGCGCATCATTTGACGCGCCGAGGCTAATGGAAGAAAAACAAGCGGAGTTGCTGCCACGACCACGGAATTCAGTCAGTGTCTGTCGCTTGTGTGAAATCATTGAGAAAAGAGATCCGAAGAGAGAGTTGGGGGTTGAGAGAAGAGAGAAGAGGAGGGAGTGAGGGAGTGAGTGAGGGAGGGATCCGTCACTTGGAAAACACGGGGGCTTGTGTAACCCCCATTGTTATCACACGGCGACACACCTAGGGGCCGGGCCAGATTCCGATTCCCAATTTCACGCGTAAAGGGTCGTAAATCTGGTTAAACGGTTAATTTTTTCAGAAGAATCTCTGAATTGTGGGTTAGTTAATAGTTGTGATTGTGACACTAAAGAGTCAAACCTGTTTTGTGTTCAACTTTCTCAAGAGAAGTCTGTTCGTCAATTTTGTAATTTGTTGCATGTGTGAGTGAGAAAAAAGAGGGTTGCGAGGGGGGGGGGGGGGGTTGAAAGCCGTTTTAGGTGTTTTATATAGCCTACATAGCAGATAAAGTTATTTCATATCAAACAGGTTCGTCTTAAATCAGTTACCTGGGGACTAAAACTACAAGCTGTTGGGAACTCTAAATCTCTGATTGGGCTGTTTTTCATTCAAGTTTTCCTTTCCCCAAACCAGAATACAAACAAGTCCGACTGGTTTATTATAAATGGATGTACTCAAAACCCGCTTTTTAAGAATATGGGTGCTGCTAAGGCTGTCTGGAGAGGATAAAAAACACAAAGAGGAGAAGAGGAGGAGAATTAGCCTATTTGTAGACAGGCTAAGGGGAGGTTGAAAGGGGAATCAGAGGGGGCGGGAGAGGTGACGGTAGGGGTTAGGGATTTATTCAACGACAATTTGGTGGAGGGATAATGCAGAAGGGTGGGGTGGAGGGGCTTGAGGGGTATAGATGAAAAAGAAGAGACAGAGGAGTTCGGTTCTGAGAAAGCATGCCGTTTTTCGGTGTACAATGTGCACATCTTGCTCTCGACGCATCGCTTTTTTAGTTTTTAGTTACGAGTCTTTTATTCGCTCATCACCGAAAATTGATAATATTATTATTTCATTGGTAAGTTTTGTCTTCTTTGACAAAAGATGTGGTTGAAATAATGCTGTATAAATGTGTGAGCTGCTACTCCATAATTAGATGATAGTATTTTGATCAGTTTTTTTTCCTCCGAAACCTAAAGAAGTGTTAAAGAGTGTTGTTGAAGGGCGCCACGGGCAGGTATCTACTTCTTCGCTATACCACTGCTGTTTCTGTCTACCTGCCTTGTTATTCACAATACTAAAAGACCGTCATAGTGTTGATGTGCCTTCTGCTTACTCAATCAAACAAATCAATTTCTTCAGTTCCGTTCCAAAGGAAGTTTTGACCTCGCTTTTATTTAAGCGTCTGGTTGGCGGGTGCCTTGGTGGAGTTTGCTCCTTCTTTCCTATCAAACACCTAGAGCCCTTATCTCTCCTGTTTCTTTTTGTGCGTGGTTACTCTCTTGTAACATCTCTAATCTTCAGCACATTATTATTATGACCGTGTTGTATCGCATTTTAAGTGCCGTAAAACTCTTACCAAAACATTGAAGCGTCTCGCTCTAAAACACACCCTAGCCAATAGAGGTTTACAAAGTCATTGCAGGTTTAATTTTCCAA